AAAATAAAACAAAAAATGTAAAATAAAAAAATGAATCCAATTTTTTTTTAGGTTGACATAGATATAGTAATTGTCTTTTAGGCATCAATGTAGTTAAATATGGATTTTTATAACTAAAATTAAGGGATTGAAGTTGTAATGGATATGGTAACTCCTTTTATGCATTAATGTAATTAAATATGGTCTACTAGTGCGGGTTATATTTCCATTGATTCAATTAGCGGATTATTTTTCCATATTGTTTTACTATATGTGGCTAATGTAATATCGGTTTTGTTATGAAGTCAACAGTTGGCTCTATAGTGGAGTCAACTTTCTATATACAACAAATAAACCTATCCAAATTAATAAAATTATATTAATGTTATTTAAGTAATCATAAAACATGGTAGATTTACTTGTTGTATATAGAAGGTTGGCTCCATAGCAAAACTGAATAGCATAAAATAAACCTACAAAAAGACCATTTTTTTTAATAAACCACACTTAACATAAAGGGTACATAATTATTGATCAAACTTATAACCAATGATCACATCCTCAAAGAGTTGCACCACACCTAAAGAGTCTTGAGAATTTAGACAAAAATTTATAAATTGTTACATTGAGCTATTCTATAAGTTTTAGATGGTGCTAGAGACTACTTGAGAATTTAGACAAAAATTTATAAATTGTTACATTGAGCTATTCTATAAGTTTTAGATGGTGCTAGAGACTACTAAATTATGAAATAGACATTTGGTAGTTGTTCTTTTTTAGAACATATTTTTTATATGCGGGTTTATAAGTGGTGACTATAACTTTCTATTGAATAATTATTATCCTCACTACTAAGGCAAATTGAATCATTAATCTTTTATAACTAAAAGACATACTTGTGTTATGAGATTTATTTACTTTTTTTAAAAGTATATATGACAAATTTTTTAGAATAATATAATATTTGATGTTTGATGGAAGTTTTTTAAGTACATAATATGTACAATGCATGTGTAGAAAATAAAAAAAAATGATTTAACTTTTTTGTTAAGGAGCTGTAATATCATAATATCAAGTACTAAAACATTATCACAATTTGTTAACCACGGGAGTAGAGTGCAACAAAAATGAAACAGAGATTTAAGGAAATCATGTTAACAAAACAGGCCTATTAAGTAAATCAATACAACAAAAACTTCCCAAAAATACGCCATTGCATATGCTAACATCAACAACCGATGGCAAAATATCGTATCTCTAGTGCAATCAAAGTAATCGAGTAATTTAAGCCTAGAGTTCTCTCAGCAAATCAAACAAACAGTATGCAGATTGTAAAGACAACACCAGTGAAATTGACCGAGTTTTGAGTCTCGCAATTGGATGACTCGGAATAAAACTTGCTCATATCGAACTCACTCTCAAGTACCCACAAGCATGGGGTTCTGGTCTTTGAACTTATGATACCGTTTGCAAAGTTTCTCGAGTGTTGCCACCGAATGCTGCATGTTGTTCAACTTAATATCCATGAACATGCCCTGTAAAACGTGTAAACAAAACTAAATTACTAAGGGTGTGCTTGGATACACATATATTCGCTCAAAATGTGTTTTTTATTTTTTTGTTAATAATGGTTAATTTTGAAAAAGTTCTTATGGTTAGTTAGTGAGGTTTTAAATATATATTAAAATAAAATAATTAATATTGTTTTGATGTAAAAGTAGGAGAAAAATGTGATGTGTAAAAATGATTGTAAATTAGAGTTGATATAATGTGTAAGAATAATTGATTGATGATATTTAATTTAATTGTATGAAAAGATTACCGCCCGGTTACGGAACCATCCCGTTGGGGTTTATATCCGTAGATTATCTATCCTACACTAATCTACATGTGTATCTAACGGTTAAAAAACTCGACGAGATTGTTCCGTAATGTGACTGTAGTCTTTTCCTTAATTATATTGAGGATAGTTAAAGTTGAGTTAAATTTGGATAAGAATTGAGATAATTTATAAACAAACACACCCTAAACTATATGAAATCAATCACACACACATATGATAGACAACATAAAGAGTCTGCCCGTCCTCCATACCTGATAATCATCACCATATTTCTCCACCAGACGCTTAACATGAACTCTTTGCGTTGCTGTAAGTGGTTGTAGGGACGTGTGTTTGCCATCTCGTCGCTTTTTCCCGAGAGCTGACTTCAAATCTACATTAACCCACAAAAAACTATGCTGTTAAAAGATGTCAACTGAAGAAAAGCAAGAAGAAACTTAAAAGGTGAAGTACAAATCCTACTGATGAGGAGTAACATTTAGAAAAGTACTATTTCTCAGGCAAAACCACAAAAAAAAAAAAAAAAAATCAAAGAACTGGATTTGGGATGTCATATCTTAGCCGAGCTCAGCTCATTTATCAATATTGACGAGCCTAGCGAATTATAGAAAATTATATTAAAAAAAACAATCATCTTTTCGAGCCTTAGTGACTCTTCGGTTGTGCATAATACAATGGGCAGCTACTTAGTGAATAAAACATTTACATTCACGAAACAAATTGTTATGACCCAGAGTTCAAGAGAAATTGACCTAGCATGAACAAGTAGAAATTGGAGCAGATGAAACAGCTCTCACAAATCAACAAAACAAACAATTGGGCAAAAAATAACCAAACTCCGAATAACAAAATTGCCAAAGCAGAGAAGCAAAAAAAAAAAAGAAAAAAACACTGACCATCTTCCTCGAGATCGCTGCCGCTATCGACAGGCTCGAACTCCGACACGGGCTCGTCGGCTGGGGGCATCTGGAGGTCATCGCTCTCGACAATGTGAGCCGTGCGCGCCCGCACGCCGAGGAAATTGGGATTCGAAACGACGCCGAACGACTTGTAATTCTCGATGACGCTGCCCTTGTCATCCCACTTCGAGAGCGGGTCCAAGAGAGTTTTGAGCTTCGGCGGAAGATTGAACGCCGGCTTGAACACGTTAGGGTTTCTCCTCGGCAGTCCGACTCGTACTTTCGCCCTTGACCGCTTGTACTTTCTTCTGGAACCACCCATGGCGTCGCTGCTTCGAGCACAGGCAAATTAGGGTCTTGAAAAAGAGGGCTTTAGGGTTTGAGATTGTACTTTGATTTTTATTTATGGATTTCGCTAAATGACACTCTGCACCCAAAACTTCTGCTATATTGCAGCGCTGGACCCTAAAGAGAAAGGTCTAGACTATGTTTGGTAAACAAATAAGTTAGCTTATAGTTTATTTGATTAGCTTATAAGTTTCTTGTATTCAAACAAGCTAGCCTCGTTTGGTAGGACGAGATTTTTTAAAAAGCTCGAGCTATTTGATAGCTCCTTAGGTAGCTTTGAATTTTTTATTCCAGCTAGCTTATCAACTAATTTTACCAAACACTTTTATCATATAAGCTAGCTTATCAGCTATAAGTCATAAAACTATAAGTTATAAGCTAAAAAATTATTGATAAGCTATAAGCTAGTTTATCAGCTATCAACTAGCTTATCAGCTAATTTTACCAAACATAGCTTAAAGCGTGCTTGCAAACAAGTATATCCCTGCCAAAAATAATTTTTTTTTTATTAATTAGAGTTAATTTTAAAAAAATGTGATATAATTAGTTGTTAATGAAATTTTAAATTTAGAATAATATTCAAAAGAAAATAATTAAAATTAATTTAATGTAAAACTAAAATAAAAATAATGTGAAGTGAATATTAATTTATAATTAACTAATATTATTTAATTATAATGCCTTGTTTCATACAAAACCATATTTTATTGCCTATAAAAATTATAACTTGAGATTTAGTTTATATCAAACAACAACAATTATAAAGCACAGCAACAACTGAAGAAGAATAACAGCATGCAAGAAGCCATTTAGCTACATTAATGATAGCTTCAAGAATCAACAGTTACATATATATATCTTGGTATCTCAAATACAATGTTGAGCTTATTATAAATTTCCCAAAATAACTACAAGAGTTAACTAGACTTTTTTTTCTGAATGTTTAATATCTTCCAAGCCTTTGTTCCTCTGAAGAAAAGGCCAAAATTTTGCTACAACATACAATATGCTGACTAATCTCATCTGAGACTCCAAAATAACCAAATTATGCAGCTTTCTCAGCCACTCAAAGTTCGGATGATCGGTTGGCATATTCCTGAACCAATGCCCCAAAAAGAGACGGCCTCTCGAGCAAATTAGATGGTCTGTCAAATTCCTTTGCTTTTCCTGTTATAGTGATTAGAAGGTAAACAAACAACATTAACTTACACACAAAATCAAATTTTCATTTTTTTTTTTACATTGTATTGAGAAGAAACGTGTTATCGTTTTAAGACTTCTTCATACACAAATCAGACTATGTTTGGTAAGCACATTAATAAGTTTATAGCTTATATGATTAACTTATAAGCTTCCTGTATTCAAATAAGCTTGGTTTGGTTTGGTTATCTCATAATCTTTCTTGGTTAGCTATTCAAATAAGCCCCATTGAAATATTTAGCTTATCAGCTAATTTTATCAAACCATAAGTCATAAGCTATCAGCTATAAAGCTCGAAATTTAATTAAAAACTATAAGCAAGATTATCGGCTATGTTTACTAAAATGCACGAACCTGCATCTATGACCAAAACTCGGTCACAGTCCATAACAGTCGGTATTCTGTGGGCAATGCTTATAATCGTGCAGTCCGCAAAGTCTTCTCTTATGATCTTCTGGATCACGCCATCTGTATGTGAATCGACGGACGCAGTTGCTTCGTCCAGAAACAGAAGTCGGCTTTTCTTTAGCATCACTCGACCCAAACATAGAAGTTGCCTCTGGCCCACACTCCAGTTATCACCATTGTCAACAACTGAGATAAACAGAGGGACAATTATATTAAGGATGTTACATTTTTTTTTAAGGTTTCTTTCACCATTTTCCGAATTAGCAAACCATAATTTTTTTTTAAGGTTTACCAGCAGAATCGAGCTTCCCCGGTTTTGCGGCTACTACTTCTTTAAGTTGACAACGTTCAAGACTCTACAGAGAGGTGAAAAGTTAGATGAAAATGATCGTAAAATGATTTAGCACAAAAATAAGATTTCATTAAGAATTACCATAAAAAAAGAAAAGAAAGCAAATCTACCTTCCATATTTCATCATCTGAATATTGTTCAGTTGGGTCAATGTTGCTCCTCACAGTTCCTTCGAAAAGCACAGGCTCCTGTGGAATGATTCCGAATCGAGACCTAAGATCGTGAAGCCCTAATGCCGAAATATCTATGCCGTCGATGATTATTTTCCCAGCCGAAGGTTCGACCAATCGAAACAAGACTTGGATTAGAGTCGATTTTCCTCCGCCTGTACGGCCCACTACACCAATTTTCTCTCCACCATTTATGATGAGACTAATTCCTTTGAGCACTAGAGGAGTATCTGGACGATATCTTACCTGTTCATCCAACAATCAAATAAAATACTTCATTATGTAAACATTAAAATTCTTTTATCTTTGTATGTGTCAAGTGATTAAAAGGTGTAGATAACTCAATAAATAACTTGCCTGCAAGTTTTTGAGCTCAACATTTCCGTGGCTCGGCCAGTTAATCGGAGGAAGCAAATCCCTTTCCCTCCATTCTGCTTCAGATGGAATGACAGTGAACTGTTTTATCCTCTCAACTGAAACCATTCTGTTCTCCAAGAAGCAACTCATGTATATGGCCCAATATAACACCGAGTTAAGGGAAAGCCCGTATGAAAGAGCTAACCCGACATTCTCTGGGGATATTATCAAATATCAAAACTAAACTATTTTGAGAAAAAATCAACCATATATTTAGGCTATGTTTGGTAATCAAATAAGCTAGTTTATAGATTATTTGGTTAGCTTATAAGCTTCCTGTTCGTTTGGTAGGATAAAAGCTCATAAACTTGTTTAGTTAGCTTTTCAAATAAGTTCGTTGAAATTTTTATTTCTGGTAGGTTATCAGCTAATTTTACTACACTTTTATCATATAAGCTAGCTTTTTCGGCTATAAGTCATAAGCTATAAGCTTGAAAATCACTTATAAGCTATAAGCTAGCTTATCGACTATTTTTACCAAAACATAGTTGTGATGAACATGAACACACACCTGGCCTGATGATACTGCTAGGTAACACTATCATGAACATAGCAGACACACAGAGGATCAAACTCCCGATTAGCTCCATACGAAATCCCAGCCACTCGTTCGATCCATTGTTGTGAAAATCCATGCGTATATTTGCATTCACTCGATTAACATTCTCTTGGCAAAAGCTCTCTTGCTTTCGAAAGCAACGAATAGTCATGACACCCGTTATGCTCTCGGAGAAATGATGAATGACAGGTGCTTTTGTGATACTGTCAAGTCGAGTCAGTTCACGGGAGGTGGAAAGGTAGTATCCCTGAAAAGTCGGAAGAAAAATACGAAATCTTCCGTTTAAAAAATATTTTATAACGAAAAATTAATAAATTATTTATAATGGGAGGAGGCATACCCGGTACCAGAAGTTAAGCCAACCGAGTGGGATCACTATGATTATAGTCGGCCAGGCATATTGACAAGTGATGATGATGATGCTGAGAAGAGTTACGTACATTGCAACAGTAATACTCATAAAGAAAGGAATCAAAATATCCACATTGGTTTGATCACTCGATGCCTGCAGAAGTAAACAAGATGAGCAAGTCATTGATAGTATAGAGTTTTCAAGAGGGGGTGTTCGAAAGATGGGTATTATTGTAATTAGGCAGAAGCCTCACTAATGCATTTCATGATCAACCAAAAAAAAAAGAACAGGTTTAAAAAAATCTATTTAACCAATTATTACCCGAGTCAAGATTCTTCCAGAAGGCGTGGTATCGAAAAACGACATAGGAGCATGCAAAATGCTGTGAAGAATCTGGCAGAAGAAAATCTGAGAGGTCTTTAACCCCATAACTGTCGTCAAAACACTTCTCAATAGAACCAGCACGAAAGCAACAACAGACAAAACAGCATACACTTCAATAAACAGGGAAGGATTAAAAGACGCGGCTCGTTTTTCAGAGGTCTCGTAAGCCAGCCAATAGTCGCTCGACATTAAAGTTCCTTGCCATGTTATGGACAGGAACAGAACAGCTGCCACACCCCACCACCCAAAAGACTCCGTGCAGTACAATTTGTAGACTTTCAAGCTTACTTTACCAGTCGCCCGTTCTTCTTCCTTGATGAGCTTAGAGCTACCGCTATTATTAGCCTCCGATTGTTCATGAGAGTTACTCTCGCTGTTTTCTTCGCCGACTTTAAAAGATTTTTGGGTAGTTAAAGTTTTTGCTTCATTTTTGGTCTCAACATCGACGAGCTCCATAGAGGCGTCGTGTGCAGCTACCAAGGCTTGGAAATCAGTGCCGGACTCGAGCAGGCTGTTGTACTTTCCGGATTGTACAATCATGCCGTCTCTCATGACCTGTTTTTATTTATTTATTTAAGTCAAAAGTAGATTTTTTTTTTTTTTTTTTAAATATGCTAAAGTACATAGTGTAGTATTTATGGAAATAAATATTTCTGACTTACGAGTATTTGATCGACATTATGCAAGAAATCTACTTGGTGGGTCACAAGTATAATGGTCTTCTCCCTAAGAGCTCCTCTTACACACTCCTGTACGAAAGATCAATTTTCATTAGAAGTAGTTCAACAAAATTCTATGAGAATGTGTATATCCATCTTAAGCAAGAGCATTAACTATTTTTACATACTAATAACAAATTCATAACAGATTAGTTAACTTGTGTGCTTACCTTGAATATTTCTGATCCAGTGTGTGCATCAACAGCACTAAACACGTCGTCAAGCAGATATATATCACAATCTTGATAAACCGCACGTGCAAGTTGAATTCTCTGCTTCTGTCCGCCACTCAGATTGATACCACGCTCTCCAATCTCGGTTTGGTCCCCAAACTCCATCATTTCAAGGTCTTTCTCCAAGCAGCAAACTCTAATGGCCTCCTTGTACCTGGCATTGTTCATCGGCAATCCAAAAAGAATATTTTCTTGTATTGTGCCGTTCTGTATCCATGATGTTTGAGCCACATATGCTGTGCTACCACACACTCTAATCTGTAAAATGAATATCGGTTTGGTTTACATCAGTTTCGTGCTAAGATATAAAGAGAGAAGTGCTTAGCATTCACAAACTGAATAACACAATCAAAATCCACAAGCATGCAATGCTTTGGAAACTCGCCCAGCTTTTGTGCTTTAGCTTTTCGGATATTACACGTGAAAGAAGACATTTTGGTTCTTCATAATCAAAAAGCAAAAAATACACTCTCTTAAGCTTCCATATGATACAATACAAACACAGCCAACTTTACATAATTCATCACACTTCCCAATCCAATCTGCTACACATAAATGATAAATCACTCTTACT